AGCTTGCTTGGCTCCTCAGGGTCTTCGGGGCCTGCTGTGTACCGCTTTGGGTTTGCTTTTCAAGCCTATGCAAGGTATCCAGAGCAATGGTACTTAAAAGAAAAAAGACCAGGTCAGGCGTGGTGGCTCATGCCTGTAATCTCAACACTTTGGGAGGCTGAGGCAGGAGGATTCTTTGAAACCAGGAGTTCAAGAACAGCCCTGGAGGCCGGGTGCAGTGGCTCACGCCTGTAATCCCAGTACTTTGGGAGGCCGAGGTGGGTGAATCACAAGGTCAGGAGTTCAAGACCAGTCTGGCCAAGATGGTGAAACCCCGTCTCTACTCAAATAAAGAAAATTAGCTGGGCATGGTGGCGGGTGCCTGTAATCCCAGCTACTCGGGAGGCTGAGGCAGGAGAATCGCTTGAATCCAGGAGGCAGAGGTTGCACTGAGCCGAGATAGCACCACTGCACTCTAGCCTGGGTGACAGACTGAGACCCCGTCTCAAAAAGAAAAAGAACAACCTGAGCAACATAGTGAGACCCCTATCTCTACAAAAAAAAAAAAAAGAAAAAAAAATTTCAGTTTACCAGCTTTGATATGCCTGAGAGTGTGACACTGGTGGCCTTGGATGCTTTCACTCATTTTATTCTTTTTTTTTTGGAGACAAAGTCTCACTCTGTTGCCCAGGCTGGAGTGCACTGGCGTGATCTCAGCTCACTGCAACCTCTGCCTCCCGAGTTCAGGTGATCCTCCCACGTCAGCCCCACGACTGGCCGAGATTATAGGCGCCCGCCACCACACCTAGCTACCTTTTGTATTTTTAGTAGAGACGAGGTTTCACCATGTTGGCCACGCTGGTCTTGAGCTCCTGACCTCAAGTGATCCACCCACCTCAGCCTCCCAAAGTGCTGGGATTACACGCGTGATGTTTTGCTTTGTTTTGTTTTGTTTTGAGTCAGGGTCTTGCTCCATCACTGAGGTTGGAGTGCAGTGGTGCAATCTCGGTTCACTGCAACCTCTGCTTCCCAGGTTCAAGCGATTCTCCTGCCTCAGGTTCTTGAGTAGCTGGGATTATAGGCACCCACCACCACACCTGGCTAATTTTTGTATTTTTGGTAGAGATGGGGTTTCACCCTGTTGGGCAGGCTGTTCTTGAACTCCTGACCTCAGGTGATCCGCCTGCCTCGGCCTTACAGGCGTGATGTTCTTATTCTTCAAAGCACTTTAGAAGCTCTTAGGTAATGCTGAATTTAGGACTTGAGGGACTGAAGAGTTGTTTCCAAAACTTAGTCCTAAGATCACTCTCTGTCAGTGAAACTTAAGGGAGAATATGCATAAAATAGAGGCTATCAGTCACCTGAGGAAATGAGCTAACGAAGACATCCTTTAAATGCAGGCATTTGAGGGAACTATTGCCCCACTGCACTCCAGTCTGGGTGACAGAGTGAGACCCTGTCTCAAAAAATAAAACAAAATGTTAATTTTATGTTGTGTGAATTTCACCTCAATAAAATAAGAAAGAAGAAAAAGAAACGGGGAAGAAAGAGAATGGGGAGGGTGGAGAGCTCAAGTGGTTGAGGAGTGAAGGGTTGTCCAGCGCTGCCAAGAGGAAGCAGAGGAAGATCTGGTGGGCAGAGGACACACTGTCTTGTAAGACAAGGCCACAGTGCCAGACCTCCCCAGCCCTCCAGGGAAAATGTTCCTCAGGCTCTTCGATCCCTTGGTCTGACTTCCTACTCACCAAGCAAGCTTATGATGATGATGATTATTTTCTGGCTGGGCACAGTGGCTCATGCCTGTAATCCTAGCAGTTTGGGAGGCCGAGGTGGGTGGATCACCTGAGGTTGGGAGTTCGAGACCAGCCTGACCAACATGGAGAAACCCTGTCTCTACTAAAAATGCAAAACTAGCTGGGCATGCTGGCACATGCCTGTAGTCCTAGCTACTCAGGAGACTGAGGCAGGAGAATCACTTGAACCCGGGAGGCGGAGGTTGCAGTGAGCTGAGATCGCACCATCGCACTCCAGCCTGGTCAATAAGTGTAAAACTGTGTCTCTAAATAAATATTATTTTTTGGAGACTGAGTCTCTTACTCTGTCCCCCAGGCTGGAGTGCAATGGCTCTATCTCGGCTCACTGCAACCTCCACCTCCTGAGTTCAAGCAATTCTCATGTCTAGGCCTTCTGAGTAGCTGGGATTACAGGCATGTACCACCACACCTGGCTAATTTTTGTATTTTTAGTAGAGACGGGGTTTCACCGTGTTGGCAAGGCTGGTCTTGCATTCCTGACCTCAGGTGATTTACCCACCTCGGCTTCCCAAAATGCTGGGATTACAGGTGTGGGCCACTGCGCCCAGCCTTTTTCTTTTCTTTTTTTTTTTTGAGACGGACTTTCACTCTCGTTGCCCAGGCTGGAGTGCAAAGGCGTGATCTCGGATCACTGCAACCTCCGCCTCCCAGGTTCAAGGAATTCTCCTGCCTCAGCCTCCTGAGTAGCAGGCACGTGCCACCATGCCCAGCTAACTTTGTATTTTTAGTAGAGACAGGGTTTCTCCATGTTGGTTAGGCTGGTCTTGAACTCCCGGCCTCAGGTGATCTGCCAGCCTCGGCCTCCCAAAGTGTTGGGATTACAGGCGTGAGCCAATGCGTCCAGCCTATTATTTTAATTTTAGATTCAGAGGATATGTATGTAGATTTGTAACATAGGTAAACTGCATCTGTTTCTTCTTTTTTTTTTTTTTTTGAGACAGGGTCTCACTCTGTCACCCAGGCTGGAGCGCAGTGATGCAGCCTAGAGTGATCCTCTTGCCTCAGCCTCCCGAGTAGCTGGGACTACAAGAGTGTGCCACCACGCCAGGCTAATTTTAAAATTTTCTGTAGAGACGGGTGGACCCACTATGTTGCCCAGGGTGGTCTTGAACTCCTGGTCTCAAGCGATCGTCCTGCCTCAGCCTCCCAAAGCGTTAGGATTATAAGCATGGACTTCTGTGTCTGAAAACCATGTTTATTTGAGGATAGCCATTGCAAAGGTAATACATGGGACATAGTAAACTATGTGCTGCATATTCAGGGAGGTAAAGGAAGATGAGGATTTTAAACGAAAAGTAGGGAGGACTACATTGTTTTGAGATCATTATGCTTGGCTACAAGGATCCGTAATAAGGCTGGCACCCATCTGAGGCTGGACAGGCAGTTGCTGGGCAGATACCCTCACACAAGTATTTTGTGTGTCTGTGTGGCTCCATTTTGATTCTGGCAACGTTCACATGGTCATTTGTGAACATTTGTTAAGCGGTACACTAATATCTGTATGTGTATTTTTAAAGCATGTATATTTTGGCAGGGCGTGGTGGTTCACGCCTATAATCCCAGCACTTTGGGAGGTCAAGGTGGGCGGATCACCTGAGATCAGGAGTTTGAGACCAGCCTGGTCAACATGGTGAAACTCCGTCTCTACTAAAAATACAAAAATTAGCCGGATGTGGTGGCACACGCCTGTAATCCCAGCTACTTGGGAGGCTGAAGGGGGAGAATTGCTTGAACTCGGGAAGTGGAGGTTACAGTGAGCCAAGATCGTGCCACTGCACTCCAGGCTGGGCGACAGAGCAAGACTCCATCTCAAAAAAAAAAAAGTAAATAAATAAAAAAAAAAGTATGTATATTTTACTTTAAGCAAAATGAAAATTAAGATGGGGCAAGTGTGCTAAGATACTTGTACAAAGATGCTTTTTTCAATATTATGATGTTAAAAATTGGAAACGTCCTGCATGCATAAAGAGCCAAAGGCTGATGAACTCATAGCTTTTAGTATCCCCACAAAATGGAATATTATGCAATTATTAGGAATGTTGATAAAGATGTACATTTATTCGTTTGGAGTTATTAAGTAAACAATATAATGCAAAATAAGTTAAAAAAAGAAAGTATATTCCAAAAAGTGACCCTTTCTGGTCAATATACAAATATGCAGACTATTAATAAAGTTGACTAGTCTGAGGAGCTTGTTAGATACATATATTCCTGAGCCCCCACACAAACTTGACTAATCCAAGGAGCTTGTTAGATACATATTCCTGAGCCCCCACACTCAAGGATTCAGGGATTCTCATTCAGGCATCCCCCCAGTCCCCACCCACACACACCCAGCCAGAGTTTTTTTTGAGAAGGAGTCTTGCTCTGTTGTCCAGGCTGGAGTGCAGTGACATGATCTCGGCTCACTGCAACCTTTGCCTCCCAAGTTCAAGCGATTCTTCTGCCTCAGCCTTCCAGGTAGTTGGGATTACAGGCGCTCACCACCATGCCCTGCTGAATTTTTTTTTTTTTTTTTTTTTTTGTATTTTTAGTAGACATGGGGTTTTGCCATGTTGGCCAGGCTGATCTTGAACTCCTGACCTCAGGTGATCCACCTGCCTTGGCCTCTCAAAGTGCTAGGATTATAGGTGTGAGCCATTGCGCCTGGCAAGGCAGGTTAATTTTTATGCACAGCCTGATTTCTACCATTCTGGGGGCATCTTTGAGAATTTGATGTGAACTGTGGATCCTCACCTCTGAAAAAGTAACGGACACACCAAAGCCTGGGTAGAACTTGGAGGGGAGAGGTGGTCCATAATTCCAGCTGAGAGGAAGGATGAGAGGTCACCTTCCCTCATTTTCCTCTTGTTTCTATGTGTCCTCGGGAGGTCCCTTGCTCCCCCTCCCTAAAGGTTGAGAACCCCTGCCAGGTAGCACAGACCCCCTGGACCACTGTTGAGGTCGGGGCCCCTCCCTTTTGTGTTTCTGTGAGGGTCGCTGGTGAGGGCTGCGGGCAGCGGTCCGCTCGGTAGTGGCCCCGAGGCCTGCTCTGGGAACCTGCCTGAGCTGCATTCTGGGCTCTTCTTGCCTCCCCGCTGTCCCTGCTGTCCGCACTGTCCCCGCTGCAGGACAGCTCTTAGGTCGCCCTGCGGTTTCGGCCTTCTCCACACTCTCCCTACTTCTGGTCCAGAAAAGGCAAGCTGCCTGTCTGGCTGCACAAGGCTAATGACGCTGCCCCAGCGTTCTCACCCTCCATCTTGTTACCGTCTGTCGCAAAAGGTCCCCCCGCCCCCACCGTGTACACGCAGTGCACATCCACTACTCCATGAATGCTGCTGCTCTGGGCCCCTGGAATGAGATGGGAATGGGGTCAGAGTTGTGGCTATGTGTTGGAAGGTGGGCCGTAGGCAGTGTCATAAACTTGAGGACCCCCAGAACAGTTTACTAACAGACTTCCTCTTTTCGTGTGTGCCTGTAAACGCCAGGGACTACTCAGGCAGTGGACAGTTCATGGCTGCTTCTAAGAGAACAGGCGGTCAAGAAGAGTCAGGTCCATTTGGGAAGAGAGACGTCCATGGCCTCGGCCACCAGGTGGCATCACTGACCCTTCTGGAAGTGCAGCCTGTCTGGGAAGCCACATCCGTCTACAGGTCCCGTCCCTCCCCGGCCTCCACTCTAGGGCAAGGGCCCAGCCTTTCACCAGGAGGCCTCGCACCCTGAACCCGAGGCACCGGCTCTGCCTCCTCCCCTCACAGTCCTCGTGTGTCCTCAGCCCCGCCCAGAGGAGCACCTCATTTCTGTTGCCCATCACCGTACCTCTTAGCTCCATTGCTGAGTGGTTGGATGGGATGAACAAGGGGAACATGTAGGGCAGGACAGGCTCCTCTTGGCCTTGGCATAATAAACAGAAAACCCACACATTTTTCTTACTTTTAATATCTAAGATAAAAAAAAAACCCCAACCACCAAAACAACCCATTTGCATGTCGGTGACACGCCTGGTCTCGGGCTCCCTTTCCGGGGCTGTCCTCCCGGGTGGCTCCCAGGCCCCCGTCCAGGGGAAAGCCCAGCCTCAGTCAGAAGCCACCGTGGCCTCCAGTTCTGCACCAGGACAACCTGGGAGCCAGCCTTTCAGAAAGGCCACCAGGAACTGCTTTTAAAGCATGGAGCTGCACTAGCAGGAAGTTTTCCCTTGAGGCTGAGCTGAGAGTTATTTCTTGTGGAGAAATTTCATTTTATTGCCTAAAAAAAAGGAAAATGAGAACATTTCACAAGGTAGACAAAGGAGGGTGAGATAAATCTTGCCCTTTCCACCCAGAAGTGGTGTGGGTAACGGGGCCCCCACGCCACCCCAGGGAGCCTCATCCCCTGCTCTGGATAAACCAAAGGGGCTTTGTTCTTTCCAGAGATCCCCCTAGGGTCTTCCTTAGACTTTGAGGGGTTTGAAAGGAAGACCATCAGAGCTGTCTAGGAGGGCTGGCTTCTGCTGTGGTAATAAAGGAAGCACCGAATTGACACATCCCTCAGGAGCCAAGGGAGGAGAAAGTGCCCAGCAATGCTGTGTTATTTAAAACACTCCGCTTCCAGGTAGCCCTCCATCCTGCAGGAGGCACAGACATGGCACCCCTGGCAGGCCCTCTGGGAGGGCCTCACTGCTGCAGACACCTCCCTACTGGGGCCTCTGTCCTCTTTTTCTGCTGTGTTCTTCATCCTCCCTTTCCCTGTAAGGCCTTTTCACTGATTAAACTGCAGTCCTTGTAAGTGTCACGTTTCTACTTTCCAGGGGAATTTGGACACCAGTGCGAGTCTTCCTTGTCAGACATCCTTGTCTGGTTCCCGCCATGCTCCCTCGGCTCAGTTCCACTGAGATTTAAAAGTGTAGGAGATCATAGAGAAAGAAGATAGCGAGAAAGCCCGGGGACCCAGAAAAGGAGGTGCTGGGGGCAGCGTTTCCTTTGTTTTCTCTTTGGGGACAGATTAGAACAGGAGGTTAAAATGCCAGTAGCATCTGCCCAGCGCAGGCCGCAGAGCTCTGCATTATTCAGGGCGCTGGCTCCAGTGGAGGGAACTGGCTGGGACTCGGAGACAGACAGCTCAGAGGCACATAGGCTGGGCACCCAGAGCCCAGGTCCTTACCTAGTCCCTTCAGGAACTTATTGACACCGCTGTGCTCTCCACTGGGGAGTGTTTCCAGATACTCTTGGGCTCGGACCTCAAACAGACCTGTTAACAAGAGAAATCCCAGTCATTTGAGTTATTGGTCTTTGTGCTTCTAAACATGCCCATTTCCTCCCTACCAGAAAAAAGAGAAACCTTGTTTCTGAGACTAAGCTGCTCCTATAAACATGCTCTGAATCAGGTTTTATAAGGGTTTTATTGCTCTTATAGTTGCCCCACCTGTGCAATAACTGTCTTTGGAAGGCTATAAAGCCACCTCGTAGATGAAATCCTATTTTTATTCAACAAACGCCTTCCAAGCGTCTACACTGTGCCAGGCGGGCGGTTTTAAATCTGAACTGGAGTGACCAGGCACGGTGGCTCACGCCTGTAATCCCAGCACTTTGGGAGGCCGAGGTGGGCAGATCACCTGAGATCAGGAGTTTGACGCCAGCCTGGCTAACATGGTGAAAGCCCGTTTCTACTGAAAAATACAAAAAATTAGCCAGGCATGGTGGTGCACACTGGTAATCCCAGCTACTTGGGAGGCTGAGGCAGGAGAATCACTTGAACCCGGAAGACGGAGGTTACAGTGAGCCAAGGTTGCACTTTTGCACTCCAGCTTGGACAAGAGTGAAACTCTATCTCAAAAAAAAAAAAAAAATAGAAAAGAAAAGTTGAACTGGACTGTCCTGGCTCAGGAGGGGTGCCTGTGCACTCCCATGTCCCTGCATTCTCCTGTAAGAGAGCCCTAGCCAAGTGGCTTAGTTTTCCAGGAGTCCCTCTGTGGAGGGAAGATGGCTGGATAGGCCATCTCCTAGGCAGCTTCTCAGACCCCTGGGGTCTGAGCTTCAGGCACTCTGTCTCATGGCTGACTGATTTTTCATGGACAGAGGGTCCTTTCCAGGATTTTTTTTTTTTTTTTTTTTTTTTTGAGACAGAGTTTTGCTGTGTCACCCAGGCTGGAGTGTAATGGTGCCATTGTGGCTCACTGCAAGCTCCGCCTCCCGGGTTCAAGCGATTCTCCTGCCTCAGCCTCCTGAGTAGCTGGGATTACAGGCGCCCGCCACCATGCCCAGCTAATTTTTGTATTTTTAGTAGAGATGGGGTTTCACCAAGTTGTCCAGGTTGGTCTCGAGCTCCTGACCTCAGGTGATCTGCCTGCCACGGCCTCCCAAAGTGCTGGGATTACAGGAATGTGCCACAGCGCCCGGCTTTTTCCAGGTAATTTTTTTTTTCTTTTCTTTTTCTTTTTTTTGAGGCGGAGTCTCGCTCTGCCGCCCAGGCTGGAGTGCAGTGGCCAGATCTCAGCTCACTACAAGCTCCGCCTCCCGGGTTCCCACCATTCTCCTGCCTCAGCCTCCCGAGTAGCTGGGACTACAGGCGCCCGCCACCTCGCCCGGCTAGTTTTTTGTATTTTTTAGTAGAGACGGGGTTTCACCGTTTTAGCCAGGATGGTCTCGATCTCCTGACCTCGTGATCCACCCGTCTCGGCCTCCCAAAGTGCTGGGATTACAGGCTTGAGCCACCGCGCCCGGCCTCTTTTTCTTTTTTTTTCTGAGATGGAGTTTCACTCTTGTTGCCCAGGCTGGAGTGCAATGGTGCGATCTTGGCTCACTGCAACCTCCGCCTCTTGGGTTCAGGAATTCTCCTGCTTCAGTCTCCTGAGTAGCTGGGATTACAGGCACACACCACCACGCCTGGGTAATTTTCTTTATTTTTAGTAGAGATGGGGTTTCACCATGTTGGCCAAACTGATTTCAAACTCCTGACCTCAGGTGATCTACCTGCCTCGGCCTCCCAAAGTGCTGGGATTACAGGTGTGAGCCACCACACCCAGCTTCCAGGTAGTTTTTAAGCTTGTGTGTCTCCCACCTCTCTTACCAAGTGATCTGTAAAGAGATATTTAAATGGATCTGGTAGATCTATTAATATTTTAAAAACTCCTTCGGCAGGTGCCTCCTGTAACTCATACTCTCCAATCAGTTTTCTTTTCTTTTCTTTTCTTTTTTTTTTTCTGAGATGGAGTCTTGCTCTCTCAACCAGGCTGGACTACAGTGACATGATCTCGACTTATTGCAACCTCCACCTCCCAAGCTCAAGTGATCCTCCCACCTCAGTCTCCTGAGTAGCTGGGACTACAGGCACATACCACCACACCGATCTAATTTTTAAAAATATTTTTGTAGAAAAGGAGTTGCACCGTGTTGTCCAGGCTGGTCTCGAACTCCTGACCTCAAGTGATCTGCACGCCTCGGCCTCCCAAAGTGCTGGGATTATAGGCGTGAGTCACTCACTGTGCCCAGCCTGAGAATTTCATCAATTTGGAAAGAATGGGATAGAAGGAGACCTTGCCACAGATGCTGGAATGTGGTTCTGGGAGAGGCTGGCAGAGGGAACAGAGAAGCCAGGAGAGGGGCCCTTCCCACCAGCTCAATCAGGGCATAACTGCAAGCTCTCTGGGGGAGGTGGGCACAGCCCTATCTGTGCCCCTGCCCTGTGATCTTTCTCCCTGCTCATCAGCCGCCTGGAATAGGGGGAGCTCTAGCTGACTTGGCCCCAACAGAGAAGATGCCCCTAACCTTTGGCATCCTGCCGGCGCAGCTCCCGCTCCTGGATGAAGCCCCGAAACATCTGAGTCTCCATGAAGACCTCCAGGAAGTGGCGGAGACTCTTGGAGGAGACAGCTTTGCGGAAGGCCTCCCGCTGCAGGGTTCTCTCCTCGCGCTCACCCGATGTCAGGAACAAAGAGTAGTGTCCCACAATCTCCACGAAGAAGCGGACAAAGGCTTCAGACACCACCTCATTCAAGGGGCTGGACTCTGAGCCTGAGTAAGGGGAGGAAAGGCCAGGAACGGTGAGGGCAGACAGGCTGGGCCAGAGCCCTTGAGACAAGCCAATTAGTAATCAAAGTACAGTAATTGCTAGTTCCCTTGATGGAAACTGTGATTATCCAGGAGGAGGGTTACCCTAGGTTATTAAGACATTTCTTTCCCTGCTTAATTTTTTAAATTTTAAATTGTTAAAAACAAGTTTTTATTTTTATTTTTATTTTTTGAGATGGAGTCTCACTCTGTTGCCCAGGCTGGAGTGCAGTGGTGTAATCCTGACTCACCGCAACCTCTGCCTCCTGGGTTCAAGTAATTCCTCTGCCTCAGCCTCCCGAGTAGCTGGGATTATGGGTGCGCACCACCATACCCAGTTAAATTTTGTATTTTTAGTAGAGATGGGGTTTCACCATGTTGGACAAGCTGGTCTCGAACTCCTGACCTCAAGTGATCTGCCCACCTCGGCCTCCCAAAGTGCTGGGATTACAGGGTGAGCCACTGCACCCAGCCTTTTATGTTTTTGTTTTGTTTTGAGACGGAGTCTTGCTCTGTCGCCCAGGCTAGAGTGCAGTGGCACAATCTCGGCTCACTGCAAACTCTGCCTCCTGGGTTCATGCCATTCTCCTGCCTCAGCCTCCTGAGTAGCTGGGACTACAAGCACGTGCCACCACGCCTGGCTAATTTTTTTGTATTTTTAGTAGAGATGGGGTTTCACCATGTTAGCCAGGATGGTCTCGATCTACTGACCTTGTGATCCGCCCGCCTCGGCCTCCCAAAGTGCTGGGATTACAGGCGTGAGCCACTGTGCCTGGCCCGAGACTTTTATGTTTTTTGAGATGGAGTCTTGCTCTATCTCCCAGGTTGGAGTGCAGTGGTGTGATCTCGGTCCACTGCAACCTCTGCCTCCTAGATCAAGCGATTCTCCTGCCTCGGACTCCCGAGTAGCTGGGATTACAGGCACTTGCCACTATGGCCAGCTAATTTTTGTATTTTCAGTAGAGATGTGGTTTCACCATGTTGGCCAGGCTGGTCTCGAACTCTTGACTTCAGGTGATCCACCTTCCTTGGCCTCCCAAAGTGCTGGGATTACAGGTGTGAGCCACCGCGCCTGGCCACAGTTTTTAATTTTTGATTTTTTGAGATGGGGTCTTACTCTGTCGCCCAGGCTGGAGTGCAGTGGTATGGCTCACTGCAGCCTCAACCCCCTGGGCTCAAGGGATCCTCCTGCCTCAGCCTCTCGAGTAGCTGCGACCACTGGCATGTGCCACCATGCCCAGATAATTTCCACATCCCCCTTTTAAATAGGTACTTTAGGGCCAAAATGGGGGAGGTGGGAAAATGTTTCCCACAATTCATCATGGGAATGAAATCCAGATAAACAGAATGAGGCCCCAGTTTCTCTCCTTAGGTCTCCCTTGCCCATTTTCCTACTTAGCCCTTGGCCACTGCCCGTTTGTTCCCTGACCCTCAGAGCGGAAGGGAGAGACCCACTGGGAGGTGGCCGAACACTTACCATGCCTGCTGTCTAGGGGCCCTTCGTCCTGCTCACGAGCCAGCTCGTTCCTCTGTTCCAGAATGTGTTCCAGGGCCACCTGAAGCTTCCGGGGCAGAATGGAGTCCTCATCATCCATCTGGAAAGCAGAGGTAGCAGGTGGGTGTATGGGCATGGTGGCTGTGTCCTGGCCGCAGGACACACGAGTCACTGCAGCGCAGGCCTGGCTCAGTCCCCAGTTTCATGGAAGGAACACAACTGAAAGCCAGAGGTCCGAGCTTTCCATCTTGAGCCTACCTTTTTTTTTTTTTTTTTTTTTTTTTTGAGACAGAGTTTCACTCTTGTCGCTTAGGCTGGAGTGCAATGGCACGATCTTGGCTCACTGCAACCTCTTCCTCCCGGATTCAAGCAATTCTCCTGCCTCAGTCTCCTAAGTAGCTGGAACTACAGGCGTGTGCCACCACGCCTGGCTAATGTTTTGTATTTTTAGTAGAGATGAGGTTTCACCGTGTTAACCAGGCTGGTCTCAAACTCCTGACCTCAGGTGATCCGCCCACCTTGACCTCCCAAAGTGCTGGGATTACAGGCGTGAGCCACCGCACCTGGCCGAGCCTACTTTTTACAAGCAACGGGAGCCTCATTTTCCCCACTTGTAAAATGGACTACCAATCAATCTGTACCTTGTTGTGAAGCTAAAATGGACTACAATTACCCTGTGAAAGGGCTTGGCACTGACAGGATACTCAATAGATGATTTCCACTGCCCCATCCTGTAGGGTAGCCAGTGGATTCTGGTAACCAGGGGATTCTGGCCAGGGCAGACGGCCTGCGTGATCCAAGGCTGGCTTTGGGATCTATACCTCAGAGCAGGAGGGTCTTGGGAAGGGCCTACCCTGTGGGCCTTGAGGAAGTGAAAGTAATGATAAAAAAAACAGCATTAATGCTACTGAACTTTTCAGCAATGTGGCAACACTTGGAAGTAATCCATCAGAATGCCCACAGAAAATTTCTGTAATTACTATAATTACTTCTTCCTAGATCTGATAGAAGTTAGGCCTCTCTGGCAAATGATTAAAAAAAAAAAGTGTGTGTTATCTTCTCTGCTGGTGAAAGTAACCGATGGTCATTATAAAAATATATGAATGTACTAAAACAACTTAAAATCACTCATCATCTGTCTCCTTTCAGTTTCCCTCCCCAAGACAACACACATTAATGTTTTAGTGGGTTTTCCTTTCAGTCCTTTTAAGGTGCACGTGCGCACGCGCGCGCGCACACACACACACACACACACACACACAAACACATTTTTTTTCCTGTCTCCTTTTCTCTCCTTTTTTTTTCTTCAGGAAAGGTTTTCACTCTCTCTCAGGCTGGAGTACAGTGGCACGATCACAGCTCACTGCAGCCTTGACCTCCTAGGCTTAAATGATCCTCCTGCCTCAGCCTCTTGAGTAGCTGCTAGGACTACAGGTGCACACCAGCAGGCCTGGGTAATTTTCAAATTTTTTTGTAGACACAAGGGTCTTACCATGTTGTCCCAGGCTGGTCTTTAACTCCTGGGCTCAAGTGATCCTCCTGCCTCAGCCTCTGGAGGTGCTGGGATTATAGGCGTGAGACACCAGGCTGGGGCAAATATTCTTTAAATGCATATTGAAGCTGGGCATGGTGGTGCACGCCTCCAGCTACTGAGGAGACTGAGGTGGGAAGATCACTTGAGGCCAGGAGTTTGAGACCAGCCTGGGCAACATAGTGAGAACCTATCTTTTTTTTTTTTTGGGGGGGGGATGGGTTCTTACTCTGTCGCCCAGGCTGGAGTGCAGTGGTGCAATCTTGGCTCACTGCAACCTCCACCTCCCGGGTTCAAGCAATTCTTTTGTCTAAGCCTCCAAAGTAGCTGGGACTACAAGTGCTCGCCACTACGCCTGGCTAATTTTTGTATTTTTAATAGAGATGGGGTTTCACCATATTAGTCAGGCTGGTCTCAAACTCCTGACCTCAGGTGATCCACCTGTCTCAGCCTCCCAAAGTGCTGGGATTACAGGCATGAGCCACTGCACCTAGCTATTTTTAAAAATGAAATATCTGGGTATCTATAGTTACAAGATTACAAAGATTCTTTTTCTAATAGTTAGAAAACCATTTTGTGTCAGAACACGTGGAAAGCAATCCTTTGCCCAAACCCTTCCTTTTTGCCCCTTGCCTTCTGGCTTGTCCTCAGCCCAGCCCCGTCCTTGGGTCACACAGCTCTGCCACCCTGCTCTGCAATTCCACGGAGCCTTTCCCAGGCTGGAGAGCTGAGCCCCAAACAACAAATACGTGAAGACAAAGGGAGCAGGAGGCCGTCGCTGGCCTCACTCACCTGTCTGAGGAACCGGCTGTTGACGAGGTCAACCACAAGGACCTATGAGATGAGAGGAGAGGGACTGTCACTGTCACCAGGGCTTTTGGGATAGGGATGGACTTGTAGCCTTCTTCCTTCTTGGCATGCAGAGAGGCAGCTGGGGTGGGACTGGAGGTGAGCCATTTGTGGTTTCCTGATATTGCCACAGTAGCCACAGATAATGAAGAGCAGGGCTGGGGAGGGTCCTTCCTGAACTGCATGCTTTCAACACTGACACTGCAGGCTGGGACACATGTGTGCTGTGGCTGGACTCTCCACCTGGCTCACACTGGCTGAGGCAGAGCTTCTCATGCTGCCTTCTAGGGTGTGGGCTACTGAGGTGGGCCAAAGACACTACAGGCCTCCCTGGTTCCCACCCTGGGGTCGCTGCCTTGTCCTTCCCCCAGCTGCCCACTTAACCGTGTCATTTCTCTCCAGCGGAGAGGAGGAGAGAAACCCACCTGAGACTCGGTTAGGCTTTGGGCTTTCACTGCTGAAGCCTTTCAGGATAAAGCACTTCCTCCCTCACTCCTCAGAGTAAGAATGAGACTTGGGCCAGGACCAGGGTGGGGCAAGTGAGGTGCCTGGGGCGCAAAGGCCACACAAGGGCTGCTACTCCTGAGAGCACGACCCTCACTCAGACCCCAGCCAAGGCCACTGGCCATGATGGAGGAGGAGCCAGGGGCCTGGATGGTCACCATAACAGCTGGAAACACAGGAGTTCTCCCATATCCCAGAGGCCTGCCCAGGAGCGGAGGGCCACCTCTCCTTCCTTCCCACTCACACCCTCCAGGGATGAACTGAGCCACCTGCAGGAGCACAGGGCGCCAGACGAACTCCTGGCGGCCCTCAAGCCTGCACTGAAAGCCCTAAGGCCGGTGGGTGACGTTTAATGGGGCATTAGGACTATCTGGGCAATTCGAGGAGACGCTTCTAGGCACCCAGACAGAACTGCCGGACACAGGGACAGGCGTTCCTCCTGGCGCTTCAGGGCTGAGCAACATTATTTAAGCTTCCCTCTCTGACTGCTGGAAGTCCCCAGTCCTCAGGGTCGAAACCATTTAGAAGAAGGGGCTGGGGCTAAATAACTCCACAAGTGCCAAGCAGGACTTTCCCCGCTTCGATGCTAAACTGGACACCCAGAACTTGGGGATTAAAAACATTTTTAACGGATATGACAAAGGACCGGATCTTGCTAGCTCCTCAATGTGGGGGAGCGGGCGGGAGGGCAGGGGAGAGCAGAGGGCTATTCATGACTTAAGAGTTTCGACATCTGGCTAAATTGTTCGTTGCTGACCTTCTCAAGGGGTGCTCATACCAGGCATTTCATTTGGAAGGGAAAACAGTGTTTGCAGTCACTGAGGGTCTGACTGAGTCAGCCTCTGGGCAGGACACATGCCAGACAAAGCCCTGGTGGCCCCTGCGCCCTGCTCCCCAGCACTGCTGGCTCTGAGAACTGCTCCATGATGCCTGCAGGGCCAGCACCCTGCTCTGTTCTCCGCACCCTGCAGGGAGGGGGACAGGGCCGAGTGGGAGCTCACCTCTTCCAGCGGCAGCTCCCTGAGCAGGGGCAGAGAGCTGGAGAGCAGCCCGATGAGGAAGGGCGTTGGCGAGCACACGATGTCGACCATGGCGGGTGGCAGCACCGGGATGTAGGTGTGCTGCCAGGTGAAGGGGTAGATCAGCGCCACCATTGCGTGGCAGCACTTGGACAGGGTGCTGCAGCCAGGGAGAGAACAGGGAGAGAGGCCGGCTCAGCGAGGGCCCAGGGAAGCCTCCAGGGGAGAAGGCTCCTCCCAGAGGCAGGATGATTAGGAAAGGACACACTTGGATGGGGCATAGCACGCATAGCACGGGACAGTCTCAGCACAGGCCACACCAGGCACTTACAGCCTGTGCAAGAGGCTTGGAGGCACAGCTGCAGGGACGAGTTTAATGTCCTGGATAATTTTTACAAGTGTGTTTTCACATGTGAGCTACACGCCCTGCACCCTCCTGCCCTCAGCTTTTCTGTGTGAGCTATACTCCTGTAAGGTTTTTATTTATTTATTTATTTTTATTTTTAATTATTTTTGAGACGGAGTCTCACTCTGTTGCACAGGCTGGAGTGCAGTGGTGTGATCTGGGCTCACTGCAACCTCCGCCTCCCAGGTTCAAGCAATTCTCCCACCTCAGGCTCCCGAGTAGCTGGGACTACAGGCACTTGCCACTACACCTGGCTAATTTTTGTATTTTTAGTAGTGATAGGGTTTCACCATGTTGGTCAGACTGGACTTGAACTCCTGACTTCAAGTGATCTCCCCACCTCAGCCTCTCGAAGTGCTGGGATTACAGGTGTGAGCCACCGTGCCTGCACTCTTGTAAGGTTTTAATTTACATTCCTTTCCACCCCTACTCCCTGCCCACTCCCCAAACAAAACAAAAACACAAAAACAGTGAAAGCCTATTTTCTCAAGAATGCTCATTCTCTTACTAAAGATCTGAAAATGCTTTCTATCGAAACACTATAGCTTTGGCTGTGTTCTGTTCCCAGCCTTCTCTCAGCTGAGCATGAACACCTAGGTGCAATCTGGGAAAAGAAGGACAGAAAACTCCTTTGGTACTCACATGCCAGTGGTCAGCTCCAAATGGGTTCATGTAAAGGTGAAACTCATATACAGTTGAGCATCACCCAGAATTCTGGTCAAGGATGATATGCTAGAGATGACTGAGGGCTGCCGGGCACGGTGGCTCACGCCTGTAATCCCAGTACTTTGGGAGGCCAAGGTGGGTGGATCACCTGAGGTCAGGAGTTCGAGACCAGCCTGGCTAACATGGTGAAATTCTGTCTCCACTAAAAATACAAAAAATTAGCCAGGTATGGTGTACCCTAGCTACTCAGGAGGCTGAGGCAGAAGAATCGCTTGAACCCAGGAGGCGAGATTGCGCCATTGCACTCCAGTCTGGGCAACAAGAGCAAAACTCCATCTCAAAAAAAAAAAAGAGATGACTGAGGGCTAACCATTTTAAGCATTGAAAGTTTCAAAAATAATAACATAGTAACATTGGGAGAGGTCAGGCACAGTGACTGATGCCTGTAATCCCCGCACTTTGGGAGGCTGAGGTGGTCAGAAGTTCAAGACCAGCCTGGCCAACATGGTGAAATCTCATCTCTATCAAAAAATACAAAACTTAGCTGGGCGTGGTGATGCACGCCTGTAATCCCAGCTGCTCGGGAGGCTGAGGTGGGAGAATTGCTTGAACCTGGGAGGCGGAGGTTGCAGTGAGCAGAGATTGTGCCGTTGCACTCCAGCCTGGGCGACAGAGTGAGGCCCTGTCTCAAAAACAACAACAACAACAACAACAAAACCTTGGGGAGAAATACTGGTAGTTTCTCTTCAAGAAAAATGGTCAGGCTGGGTGTGGTGGCTCACGTCTGTAATCCCAGCATTTTGGGAGGCCGAGGTGAGTGGATCACCTGAGGTCAGGAGTTCAAGACCAGTCTGGCCAACATGGTGAAACCCCATCTCTACTAAAAATACAAAAATTAGCCGGACGTGGTGGTGGGTGCCTGTAATCTCAGCTACTTGGGAGGCTGAGGCAGGTGAATCGCTTGAACCCGGGAGGCAGAGGTTGCAGTGAGCTGAGATTGTAGCTTGCACTCCAGCCTGGGCGACAGAGTGAGACTGTCTCCAAAAAAAAGAGAAAAGTTTATTAACACTGATAATGGCATTGTGGTTATGGAAGAAACAAAAAAAGAATAAAGAAAAATGGTCAGCCCTGCCTTCGTATCTCAGGTCTGTAATCCCAGCACTTTGGGAGGCTAAGGGAGGATCACTTGAGGCCCAGAGTTCAAGACCAGCCTGAGCAACATAAGAAGACCCCCATCTCTACAAAAAATGTAAAAATTAGCCTGATGTCTGATGGGTCATTGGATGGGGAAAATAAAAAATCATAAAGTATGAAAAAGTTAGCCTGGTGTGGTGGCACACACCTGTAATCCCAGCTACTGGAGGCTGAGGTGGGAGGTTCTTGAGCCCAGGAGGTCCAAGCCGCAGTGAGCAGTGATCGGATCGTGCCACTGCACTCCAGCCTGGTCAACCTAGCAAGAGTGGGTCTCAAAAAAAACCAAAAAACAAAAAATAAAACAAAACAAAAACCAAAGCAAGCAAGAAAAAGAGTAATGGTCACAATGTAGCCTTTTTTTTTTTTTATTGGCAAGCACTGAGCATTATTGATCTCTCCGCAACAGTGCCTGAATTCAAGCTCAAGTCTGTTGAATGAAGGAATGGATTCTGCAAGGTTATCATGTTGAATTATCAACTCTATTATGCTGCAAGACAGTGATGACTGATGGCCTTCCAAGGTGAGTGGGAGTTGACTTCCTCTCTTCTTCCTTGCAATGATCTGTTACTGCTGCTGAGCCTGCTGCAGCGGCTCCTCTCTCCTCTCATTCTATTATACGATTTCTACAATACGATAGGATTAGAAACCTTAGACATGGCTGGGCGCTGTGGCTCATGCCTGTAATCCCAGCACTTTGGGAGGCCGACGTGGATGGACACGAGGTCAGGAGTTCAAGACCAGCCTGGTCAACACGGCGAAACCCCGTCTCTACTAAAAATACAAACATTAGCTGGGCGTGGTGGCGGGCGCCTGTAATCCCAATTACTCGGGAGGTTGAGGCAGGAGAATGGCTTGAACCCAGGAGGCAGAGGTTGTGGTGAGCCAAGATCGCGCCACTGCACTCCAGCACCTGGGAGCGAGACTCCATCTCAAAAACAAACAAACAAACAAACACCTTAGACGCTTGTTAGAAGTACTTGTAAGAATAAAAGTGAGGGCCCAGTGGTTCTACCATGAGTGTACTACATCCTCCTCAGGTGTGGGGCCTATAGCCAGCACTGCATTTGTTAGAAAGCCTGCTTAACATTAGCCTTCTGGACATTTGCCCAAGTTCTGACCTAGGCTTTGCTTAGGTAAAGTTGCAAGGAAGCTGAGTTTTGCCTAGATGGATCTATGCAGACACCCCTGACATCAGGCACCTCTAATCTCATTGTCCTAAAAGTTTCCTGAGCCATTAAAAAAAGAATCAATTAGCTCTGGCTTACTTGAGGGGAAAATATGTGAATTAAAAGATATTGGCAGGTCAGGAGTTTGAGACCATCTTGGCCGACAGGGTGGAACCCCATCTCTACTAAAAACACAAAAATTAGCCGGGCATGGTAGTGGGTGCCTGTAGTCCCAGCTACTGAGGAGGCTGAGGCAGGAGAATTGCTTGAGCCTGGGAGGTGGAGGTTGCAGTGAACTGAGATCATGCCATTGCACCCAAGCCTGGGTGACAGAGTGAGACTCAGTCTCCAAAAAAAAAAAAAAAAAAAAGGATATTAGTGGCTGACTGTGCCAGTAATCCCACCTAGCACTTTGGGAGGCTGGAGGATCACTTGAGCCCAGGAGTCTGAGATCAGCCTGGGCAACATAGCGAGACCCTGTCTCTATAATAACATCACAAATCATAAAAATAATAAATAAGATATTTGCTAGCAAGTGAACTGAGCTAGACAGAAAAAGACAAATACTGTATGATTCCATACATATTGCTTAGTGCTTAGACTAACAAATTCGTGGAAACGGGAAGGAGACAAATGTCTAAGGGCTAAGGGGAAGAGAGAATGGGGAGTATTGCATAGTAGCTACAGAGTTTCAGTTTGGGACAATGAAAAAGGTCTGAAAATGGGTAGTGGTGATGGTTGTAAATATTGTGAATATACTTAATGCCACTGAAGTGTATATTTAAAATGATTAAAATGGTAAATTATGTTATGTATATGGTAAATTTATGTTATGTATCTTTTACTACAAAAAAAAAAAAAAAAAAAGCAGCCCAGATCACACCTATCACACCTGTAATACCAGAACACTGGGAGGCTGAGGTGGGCAGATCACCTGAGGTCAGGAGTTCGAGACCAGCCTGGTTAACGTGGCAAAACTCCGCCTCTACTAAAAATACAAAAATTGGCTGGGCGTGGTGGTGCATGCCTGTAATCTCAGCTATTTGGGAGGCTGAGGCAGGAGAATCGTTTGAACCTGGGAAGTGGAGGCTGCAGTGAGCCAAGATCATGCCATTGCACTCCAGCCTGGGCAACAAGAGTGAAACTCTGTCTCAACAACAACAACAACAAAAGCAAGCCAGCTGTGGTAGCTCACATCTGTAATCCCAGCACTTTGGGAGGCTGAGGTAGGAGGATTGCTTGGGGCTGGGAGTCTGAGGCCAGACTGGGCAACATAGTGAGACCCCTTGCCTACAAAAAATTTAAAAATTAGCACAGTGTGGTGGCACATGCCTGCAGTTCTAGCTACTCAGGAGGCTGACATGGGAGGATCGCTGGAGCCCTGGAGTTCAAGGTTGCAGTGAGCTATGATCGTGTCACTGCACTGCAGCCTGGATGACAGTCTGTCTCTAAAAGAAGAAAGGGTTAAAAACAAAGATCACCTTGCTTCCAAGTGAGTTTCTCTTGGATCTAACACCCCCTGAAATATCCTTAAAATATACATTAGCTCATATATAGAATGAATAAGTTAAAGAGATCTATTGTACAACATGGCAATTATAGGTTAATAACAATGTATTGTAGAAAATTGCTGAGAGTAGATTTTAAGTTTTCTTATCACAAAAAATAAGTATGTGAGGTAATACATATGTTAATTAGCTCAATTTAGCCACTCCACAAAGTAAACAT